GGGTCCTGGGCATTTGGTGGTTTAGTGGCTGTAACATCTGCGATGCTCGTACTGGCCCATTCTGAAGGGGCCGAAACGAGATCGCGGTCAGGATCTGGAAATTGGGGATGGCAAATCAAAATGATTCGACCTCAAGACGGGCCATCTCAAATCTAGCTAGTGTCGAGCGGATCCGTTCACCTGCAAGTGCACTACAACCGATGAATCGGGTACCCAGGTCGGGTTCTCGCTCGGTTTAATGCTCATATTCCTCGCTCAATACGTACATAAGATATGTCACAGGATCGGTTCTCACACCATGAATGCCTACACCGCAATTAGTGATGTTTGATGGAATACGCACTGGTATGATTCGTGCCAAACCGGAAAAGCCTCGTTGCAGGGCGGCCGCTTGTTGTGTGGAGCGGCCGCCGGTTGCGTTGAGCCACGCGTGGACATCTTGTACATGTGTCCTGAAGTGCATGTTGCCCGCAGGGTCCAAATGAGGTCATCTTGTAATTGCGGCATCGTCTGCACCACGCTGCATGTAGCCTACAGCAAGCTCCAAGGTTACACATATGAGGCCACAAATGGTGATCCTAAGATGTGGTTGAAAGTAGATGGTTGCTGTGGCTGTTGCACCTTCTGAAGGTGGTGGTCTGATGTCAGGCGTCGTAGGGGTCTTGGCTGCACGTCTCCATGCTTAGCATGGTGACCCGACAGTAAGACAGCGTAGGTAAGCCTGTTTCCAAGATGATCGTACGCATGGCGCAGAAAGTGGTGACGCAAAGCCGCGCTATTCCCCAATCAGCGTGTCCTAGCGGAAATTGAAGAATTTGGCAAATATTCCCGTCCGATTTCGGTGGGCGGCCGGGTTTCCGGGTTTCCGTTTCTGGGTTCCCCAGGCCGATCTCGGTGGGTGGCGGGGTTCCTGGGTTTCTGGGTTCTTGGGTTCCTGGTCGATCCCACTATCGATCTCACCATCGATCTCATTATCGATCTCACAACCAATGTCACTTTAGATCGCACGAGCGATATCACAATCGATCTCACGATCGGTCTCACTTACTGAATCGGATTCACGATCGGTTGCACGATCAACCTTACGATCGTCCTCACTATCGATCCCCCTATCGATATCACTATCGATCTCAAATAATTGCAATGTCCATACCATTGTCGAACCCACTAAAGGTCCCAGTATCGATCTCACTAACGGTTCCACGGTTGATATTACGATCCATCTACGATCCAGCCGCGGAACACCACGGGCCGATTTCGGCATATAGAACTATATCTATATATGTATAAATATATACACACACGCACGTAGAACATTCAAGTATATATGTTTTCCATACGTTCAGATCTGTCATACGCCCTTACGACCAAGGAACACACTGTCAGGATACCAAGCGCTGCGGCGATGTTATAGGTCTCTTGGGCAGTCGTTGGCTGCGTTATTCCCAACCTTCCTGTGGTGTTGGGTCCTCGTTTTGCAGAGACAACGCCCCACGTCCTACCTCCTCCTCCTCCTCCTCCTCCTCCTCCTCCTCCTCCTCCTCCTCCTCCTCCTCCTACCCTCTCCTCCTTCCTCCCATCATCATCATCATCATCACAGACATCATTGCCGCTATCAGGACCCATTTTGGCACACATACACACACTCCACACGGTTCGTGGCCCCGTAGGGACCTCCAATGCCCCTGCGAAGACGTTCCCATGCGCCCGCGCCACCCATTTGGGCACACCCCTCACACGTTTCGTGGACCCATAGGGAGCTCCACCGAAAGCCCCAGTGGCGACGTTCCCATGCGCCCGCGCCACCCATTTTGACAGACCCATCACATGGCTCGTGGCCCCACAAAGAGCTCCACCGAATGCCCCAGTGACGACGTTCCCACGCGTCCGCGCCACCAATTTTCAGCACACCCCTCAAACGGTCCGTGGCCCGATAGGGAGCCCCACCGAAGCCCCAGCGAAGACGTTCCCATGCGCCCGCGCCACCCATTTGGGCACACCCCTCACACGGTTCGTGGCCCCATAGGGGGCTCCACCGGAGGCCCCAGTGGCGACGTTCCCACGCGTCCGCGCCACCCATTTTCGGCACACCCCACCAACGGTTCGTGGCCCCATAGGGAGCTCCTCCACATTCAGCCCCAGCGGCGACGTTCCCATGCGTCCGCGCCACCCATCTTGGCACACCCCTCACACGGTTCATGGCCCCATGGGGAACTCCTCCACCTAAAGCCGCAGCGGCAACGTTCCCATGCGTGCGCGCCACCCATGTTGGCACACCCCTCAAACGGTTCGTGGCCCCGTAGGGACCTCACCGTCGGGTCCAGCGGCGACGATCCCATGCGTCCGCGCCACCCATGTCGGCACAACCCCCACACGGTTCGTGGCCCCGCGCCACCAGTTTTCGGCATACCCTTCACACGGCTCGTGGCCCCACAGGGAGCTCCACCGAAGGCTCTAATGGCAACGCTCCCATGCGTCCGCGCCACCCATTTTCAGCACACCCCTCAAACCGTCGTGGGCCCATAGGACTTCACCTTCGGCCCCAGTGGCGACTTTCCCGTGCGTCCGCGCCACCCATTTCGGCACACACCCCACAGGGTTCGCGACCCCGCGCCACCCATTTTCGGCATACCCTTCACACGGCTCGTGGCGCCATAGGGAGCTCCACCAGAGGCTCCACTGGCGACGTTCCCATGCGTCCGCGCCATGCATGTTTGGTACACCCCTCACACGGTTCGTGGCCCCATAAAAAGGAGGCTCCACCGAATGCCCCAGTGACGACGTTCCCACGCGTCCGCGCCACCAATTTTCAGCACACCCCTCGCACGGCTCGTGGACCCATAGGGAGCTCCTCCACCCAAAGCCCCAACGGCGACGTTCCCGTGTGTCCGCGCACTCGGCTCGTGACACATAGGGGGCTCCACTTAAGGCCCCATTGGCGACGTTCCCATGCGTCCACGCCACAAGTTTCGGCACACCCCTCACACGGTTCGTGGCCCGATAGGGAACTCCACCGAAGGCCCCAATGGCGACGTTCCCATGCGCCCGCGCCACCCATTCTTGGCACACCCTTCACACTGTTCGTGGCCCCAGAGGGAGCGCTACAGAAGAAAATATCCACAACTGCGGTAATCACATCTGCGCATGGTTGGGTCCTTCGCCAGGCTAATTTTGGTGGCCTGCTGGCCCGTCTTGGGGTGATCTCGGCGGCCTTTCGTTGATCTTGGCGGCTCACGATGTCAGGAAAATGAATGAAAACTGTTTCTTCGACATCTACTCACGCCTTCGTGGAGCTCTCAAGGGCCATATCGGAGCCTTTTTGGGCCATCGTCAAGCCATGACAGCCTTCTAGGAGCCGTATAGGGCATCGGGTTCCTCGATATTCCTTGATTTGGGGTCTTTGCCAATCCCACGTGATGTAAACAGTTGACGAAAGTTCGCCGCCGAATTCGGTAGGCGGCTGGTTCCCGAGTTCCCGGTTCTGGTTTCCGGGTTCCCGTTTCCGGGTTCTGAAATGGCCTTCTCGGCGAATATTCGCCGCCGAATTCTATAAGCGGCCGGGTTCCCGGGTTCCTGGGTCTGGGTTCCGGGTTCCCGTTTCCGTGTTCCGGATTGGTCTCGGAGGGCGGCTGGCTTCCCAAGTTCCCACTTCCTGGTGCCAGGGTTCGCTATAAATATTGATATATATATATACACACACGTACATGCCGTAGACCAGAAGAGGGATGGAAACGCAATGGAAACGTGTATGTATACACGTGTAAAACATGCACGCGCCACACTTCTATATACACATACATACATACACACACTTTTATACATACGCATAACTACACTTATATAGTACGTATATATGTATCAGCCCATCCACTGGTTGGAGTTCTTCTCTGGTGCCATATATACCCAAAATGATATTGAGAGTGGGGGTGGGGGGTGGAAGTAGGCGCGGCTGTGGTAATGAATCCGTTGCCATACTCCAGTTCACTGCTGAGCACCAGCCCGTCGCCCGGCTGCCCACGCCAGTTTCCTGGCTCTGTTCCCCGGAGGGATGTCGACGCATGGTAGCCTCTATTGGTCATCCATATGGTGCTGTGGGAAGTTGCGAGCAACAGAGCCAGCCACACAAGTGTGTGGCCAGCTCCGCTACCAAGTAGAAAAGAAGCCTCGGCGCGATATAGAAGTATATCAAATGTTTTCCTCTACGCGATGGAAGGCAGTAGCCGCTTACCATATCCTGGTGTCGACCCCAGTGGGCCCAAAGGGGTCGCGGGTGCGATCACTCCCTGCTCGTTCTAACAGCTAGCTAGCTAGCTCCCTATGAAATCATCGGGCCCCTATCGACGATGAACGATTGGAGTCGATGCAACTTCCTTGAGCCCATCCCACCCTAACGTTGCCCCCCGCCCCTCATGTTTTCGGCCATAACTTGTCTCTTCGTCTCTGCGGTAGCCTCTCGGGACGATCTGGGCACCGCCAGAACGCTCTCGGCGAGGTGCAGCCGCTGGAAGGCATCCCGAGGCTGGAAAGCTGCCGAGAGACAAGGAAAACGTGCGAAGACCTCGAAACTTCGCCCCCCCTCTCCCGAGCCAATCCCCCCTATTGTTGGAGGCAGCTGGGGAGTCTGAGCTGGCTGGCACCCCAGAAAATCAGTCAGGAGGGGGGGGGATGAGGCCAAATGCGCTCCACTCGGTCCCGGACCCCTCCCAGGGTCAGTCTGGTGCAGTTTTTCACCCCAGAGCAGTCTTTGACAGTCCCAGGGCCCAGACGCAACCTGCCTGCCCTTCCTGTTGGCCGGAACCAGTGCCGGGCCATCTCAAACCCCAGACGGCTGGGCCACCTCAGGCCCCAGACGGCTCCAACCCCACCTTCGCCCCCGAGCGCCTCCTGGTAGCAGGGCGGTGGCGGCGGGCACTCGGGCGTCCTGTAGATCCAGCAGTAGGGGTCGCCGTGCCCTGGAGGCGGGCCGCCCGTGCGCTCGCCGTAGTCCTCGGGCAGGCTGGTCACGCAGGCGTCGGCCCCGTAGCAGTAGTAGCCGTCCCTCGACGAGGTGAGGCTCGAGGAGCCAAGAGACAGCAGGAACCGACCAGCCGGACCAGAGAACAAGCGGCACCACCCTACCTACGGCCCCACGGGGCTTAGCGGATATCAAAGGATCCGGCGAGCGTTGTTTGCGTGGTGTACGCCACGGCGCCCGATGGGCCGTGGCGCAACATGGAGGGCCGTAGGCGGGGCGGTGTCCGCTGTTCCCAACCATGCTGTGGTGTTAGGTCCTCATTGTGACGAGACAGCGCCCCGCGTTCCTCTACTCCTCCTCCTCCTCCTCCTCCTCCTCCTCCTCCTCCTCCTCCTCCTCCTCCTCCTCCTCCTCCTCCTCCTCCTCCTCCTCCTCCTCCTCCTCCTCCTCCTCCTCCTCCCCTCCTCCTCCTCCTCCTCCTCCTCCTCCTCCTCCTCCTCCTCCTCCTCCTCCTCCTCCTCCTCCTCCTCCTCCGCCCGCTCCTCCATCCTCCCGTCACCCCCCTCACTTTGGTACACCCCTCACACGTTTCGTGGCCCGAGAGGGAGCACCACAGAAGGTCCCAGAGCGCAGTTCGCATGCGTCCCCCCCGCCCAGTACGGCGCTTCGTGGCCCCATGGGGAGCTCCACCGAAGGCCCCAGTGGCCAAGTTCGTATGCGTCCTCCCCCCAACCAGTCCACTGTTTCGTGGCCTTATAGGGAGCTCCACCGAAGGACCCAGTGGCGCAGTTCGCATGCGCCCCCCCACCCAGAACAGCGCTTCGTGGCCCCAGAGGGAGCTCCACCGAAGGTCCCAGTGAAGCAGTTCGCATGCGTGCCCCCCCCTGTCAGTACAGCGCTTCCTGGCCCCATAGGGGGCTCCACCGAAGGCCCCAGTGGCAAAGTTCGCATCCTTCCCCCCCCCGCCCAGTACAGCGCTTCGTGGCCCCATAGGGAACTCCACCGAAGGCTCCAGTGGCGAAGTTTCGTGGCCCCAGAGGGAGCTCCACCGAAGGCTCCAGTGGCGCAATTCGCATGCGTCCTCCCCCCCACCCAGTCCAGCGCTTCGTGGCCCCATGGGAGCTCCACCGAAGGCCCCAGTGGCAAAGTTCGCGTCCTTCCCCCCCACCCAGTACAGCGATCCGTGGCCCCATAGGGAGCTCCACCGAAGGTCCCGGTGGCGCAGTTTGCATGCGTCCCCCCCACCCAGTACACTGCTTCGTGGCCCCATAGGGTGCTCCACCGAAGGCCCCAGTGGCAAAGTTCGCATGCGTCTCCCCCATCCAGTACAGCGTTTCGTGGCCCCAGAGGGAACTCCACCGAAGGTCCCAGTGGCAAAGTTCGCATGTGTCTCCCCACCCAGTACAGCGCTTCGTGGCCCCATAGGGAGCTCCACCGAAGGTCCCAGTGAAGCAGTTCGCATGCGTCTCCCCCACCCAGTACAGAGTTTCGTGGCCCCAGAGGGAGCTCCACCGAAGGCCCCAGTGGCGCAGTTCGCATGCGTCCTCCACCCACCCAGTGCAACGTTTCGTGGCCCATAGGGGGCTCCACGGAAGACGATACCCACAACTGCGGTACTCACAACTGCATATGGTTGGGTTCTTCGCCAGGCTAATTCGTTGATCGACCAGTCTCGAACTTAGTCGGGAACTTCTGGATAGCGTCTCGCCATGGCGGCCCCGTCGGCACGCTACGTGCCTCACGAGTGGACAGCGTGCCGCTCCGACTCGAGGGGCGGGAAGCTCGGAAAGGCTCGGGACGTTGACGCTGGGGGACTGGGACATGGACAGCGTATCGCGCCGAAGCGCTGGGGGGCAGAACCGGAAGAGCGACATAAAGTTCCCGACTGCATTCCTATCCCCATGATTCAAGACCAGGGCGATGGCATTCTCAGGGATGCGCCCTGAGAAACACGGGGAATCCTTCAGATCGGTACCGAGGTACGGTAATGGTAGTCAAAGGGATAAAGATACTTCGGCCTGGTAATAAGCATGAGCTTTCCGAGATCCGCTCGGATTTCTTGGATCGGTGCTGGACCCCCCCTTCCTGACGCGCAAAACGCGCCATGGGCGGCGCCGAAGGCGCCGCCAGGAGGGCCAGCGCAGATCCAAGATATCCGCGCGGAGCTCCGAAAGTTTATGTTTGTGCTGTTTTTTGTTCCTCTGGATGCGTCCCATCTTGTCGCACGGCCGGGGCACATTCGCCAGCATCTTCTCGAAGGGGTTGATGCCATTGACCGACGCCGCGTCGAACGTCTGGCCGATCTGCTCCTCTGCCGCCTTGCCCGTGGTGGTGCCCCGCTGATCCACTATCTTGCCCGGCCCGGCGGGGTCCGGCGGGTCAGGGCATCCCCACTTGCCGCACTCGGCAGCGCTTCCTTGGAAGACGCTCGGCAGCGGCCTGCCTGTCCAGACCTCCGACGTCTTCACTTCTTCAATGCCGGGTCCCCGGAGCTCCCCACCCATTCCCCGGGTCCGGTTTTTCGTCTTGGGGTAATCCTTGACGGTCTCCGCGAGCAGTCCAGGGCCCACGGACACCGAAAACGACAACAACAAAACGTCTCCGCATTGCATCTTTCAAGACCCTGGAGGTCTGGGGGTGAGGGGCAACGATGTATAATATCGACATGGAACTGGCGATACATCGCCGATAGATAAGCGATAGGCCCCCGAATGCAAATCCGCATGTTCATGCGCAGGTTGGGGCTATCGGAGCCCTATCGGCGATGAATGGGCGATTGTAGGCCGACGCAGTTTCCCTGAGCTTATCCCCCCTACCCTGAGATCCGACGTTGCAAACAATCACGACCAGAGCCATAGACCCCCTTCTTTCTGGAGCATGTCCCGAGCCAGATCGATCTGTGAGGGTCCTCGGGCCCGACAGCGAGCGAATAACAACCTGGTGCGAAAAGAGTGCCAAGCCCGGATCCGAGGCCATCGTTGCCCCTGAGAGTGGGGCTCCGGCCCCAGCGCCGGCGAGGAAGGAGGCGGCACCGGCGCCGCGGCCCCTCATCGGCAACACGCAAGAGTGACCCTTGGCAAGAGTGGCCTTTGGTGCGCGATTTTCGGGACCACGGGGAGGCCAAACCCGAGCTCGCAAGACGCTGCTATCGCATCGCGTTCAATCATCTGGGGACCCCAGATTGCCCGCAACAAAGTTCACTCCAGCGAAGGGTCATTCTTACACGACGGTCGGAAGAAGTAGGCAAAAGCATGGAATGAGAAGGCGGATCGAGTAGACTGGGCTCAGGCCCTCCAAGAGAATAGCAAAACACAGCAAAAGCATATGAGCGACCATCGAAAACGGGTCTTACGCGAGATGGCACCACGACCTTACGCCGCGGCTTACGCAGGCCAGGCTGCCAGCGCGGCACGCCACAGTGGAGACGAGGGCGCTTACGCGCGGCCTGATACGAGCAGCTCCCGCGCGAATGTCGGAGAAGACGGCCCCGTTTTTCTGCGTCGCTCCTATCGGCTCCTGAAGTAGGACGGCCCTTGAAGTAGATTGGGATCCAGGAACCCAGGAATGCCTGCACGTCGTTCATTTCCAATCGCGCTCACTTCCAATTGTGATGGTTTCTAGTTGTTCCTGGCCCGCTATAGTGGCCAGGAAGAGGCCCAGGATGAAACGATTGAAAACGAAAGGATCTTGGCCCCCCAGAATAGCAAAGAACTTTCGAAGAATTGGAAACGAACAATGCCTGTGGATGCCATGACAATGGACACGCTAACAGTCCTACCATTGAACTGAAGATGTGTTTAGGATGTGTACAACATGTTCCGAAAGTGTATCAAACATGTTTTTCACATATCTTGAACATGTGTGAAACATCTTTTAGACATCTGGAGATTATTTGGCAGCACGCTTCCTCACCATTAATCGCCTTCCACAAAACAACGCCTACTTTCCAACGACCGGCGTGCACGCGCCACCGACCTCAGCGCCGCCCGCGCCGAGCAGGCGCTCCGCCCCGCGGCGGCACCGCCGAGGAGCGAGGCGGCCGGCTCCTCCGCGGCGGCCGCTGCGGCGGCGCCGAGGCGGCGCGCCAGCGGGGCGGGGAGGCCGGCCAGGGTGCTGCCACAGGCGATGTGTCGACCCCTACAGCTACGCTGCTCCCATCGCACTCAAGAGCCACATCCCAGAAGTAGCTTCGAGCACCCAGGAAAGTGTCGAAACAGTGTCGAGCGAGTATCGCCTCCCAGGGCCCGACACGTGGAAACCCTCAAGAGTCGGTATTCTCCTGGTGCTCAAAATTATTTGTGGTGATCGAGGCTAATGTAGGTTAGAACTTCATAACCCTACAGGCCTCGGAAAAATAGCGAGCTCGCATGCCACACTCGCCGGTCGACGCCTCCCCCTCCGCCAAGGATCAGAGTTGGCGGTGGGTCTGATGAGTGTTGCACTTCGACCGCAGCCTGCCCCGCGCGTCCCAACTGCGAGTTTGGGGGAGCGGGGGAGTGTCCACTAATTGTTTCCCCCTGCCGTATCCCCGACCTCCTGAGGTTCTCGGAGCCAGACATGCCCGCGTCGTGGACAAAAATCGCCGACCCCTTGGGTCTCATCGGCGTGTGAGATGCTTCCCCCTCCCCAAACCCCTCCCCCAGGAGCCCGGTCAGGTCGATTTGGAAGGGTGGGTCTACCCGGGCCGGCCGGGGCCGGCCGGAGCCGGCCAGGGGGGGTACTTTGCTACAGAAATATTGCTGGGGGACGGCATCGAGGGCCTCAAAACGGGCCACGAGGGCCCCAAGAGACCTGCAAGACGGTCCAAGAGGGCCCCGAGTCGCCGACACATTGCCCCAAGACGCCCAAGATGGCCTCCAGACGGCCCAAGATGCCTCCAAGACGCCCCAAGAGGCTTCGAAGAGACGCCACAGGAGGCCCCCAAGAGGCCAAAATCATGATTTGTCATGTTTTGTTTAAAGGTTCTTGGGCTTTCTCGCCTTTTCGGGCTTCCGACGCTCGAAGACGGCCCAAGAGGCTCCCAAGACCACCCCAAGACGGCCCAAGAGGCCCCCAAGACCGCCCCAAGACGGCCAAAGAGGGCATCAAGACAGCCCATGAGGGTTCCAAGAGGGGCCCAAGAGGAGACCACGAACCGAAAAATCTAGCTTTCCGCTCCAAAAAGGCCCCCGAGGCCCAAGAGGCCCTCAAGGGGCCCCAAGAGGCCCCCAAGAGACCCCCAAGAGGCCCAAAAGAGGCCCCAAGAGGCTCCAAAACAGCCCCCCAGAGGCCTCCAAACTGCCTCGGGCAGGCCCCCGAGAGGCTTCTCACGAGAGCCCAACGAACATCCTAGAGGCCTCTGAACCACAACCCAGGCACGGTGGTGGGATGGGCTGAAGGCCACCAGATATATGAATACAAGCATAAGTCACGCAGCACCCACAAGCAGCAAAGCGACTCTCCCCCAAGGGGTCGGCGGTGCGGCGTAAGCCAAAGAATCGGGACGGGAGGTTCTCCGTCGTTGTCGGCCTCTGGGGGCCCTCGCCGGACCTAGGGGCCGTCCAGAAACGACCCGGGACGAAAAATCGGCCCCGGGGAACGGGTCGGGTCTTCAGGGGACCCCGCATTGCAGAAATTCTGGCATCGCATGCCTGGGGCGGGGTCGCGCCGCGCTGGTGCGGGGGCGACCCCAGCTCAGGCGTTCGAGGCTGAGCGCCACCAGTTGCCCAGAATCGGCGGGTACCGAACGAGCCGCGATCGCTGAAGCTTGAACGATCCACGCGGTGTCAGAAAACAGTGCGCAAGTCGCCGCGCGGTGACCTCTCTGGCGCTGTGACATCGCATGTCTGGGTCCCCGATTTCGTGAAAGGGTAAAACATCTGGGCCAGAATCGGGGGTATACGACGGGGGGCGCCAAGCCTCGGTACGGGTGCGTCCGAGTAGCCCCCCAAGTGGCTGGATGTTTGAGCTCGGGGTCTTGGACGCACCTGGGGCCATTCCTCTTCCTCCTCCTTCTCCTCCTCCTCCTCCTCCTCCTCCTCCTTTGCCTCCTCCTCCTTTTCCTCCTCCTCCTCCTCTCCTCCTCCTCCTCCTCCTCCTCCTCCTCCTCCTCCCCCTCCTTCTCCTCCTCATCATACGTTTCTTCTCCTCCTCCTCTGATATTCCATATTCCTCCTTCTAATCCTCCTCCTCCTCCTCCTCCTCCTCCTCCTCCTCCTCCTCCTCCTCCTCCTCCTCACCCTCACTGGGGTGGATAAATCGCCTGTGATGCTGGGCGGCGGCCCGTGCAGGGCGGCGCAGAGGGCGCCGCCGCCGCCCTCTCGCCAGGCACCACGCATGGCGCGCGCACGCGGGGCGGCGGCGAGGCGCGCCGCGCGGGGCCCGAGCCGGACCTCGTCGTGAGGAGGAGGGGGATGGGATGAGGAGGGGTGAAGGGAGAAGGAGGGGAGGGGAGGGTGAGGAGAGGGATGACGAGGAGGAGGGATGAAATGTTGGAGGAGGAGGAGGAGGAGGAGGAGGAGGAGGAGGAGGAGCAACGCAGCAGGAGCACGAGATGGGGAGGGAGAACGAAAAGGAGGGAAAGGACGCGCCGGGGCCACGAAGCGCGGGGACGCATGTGAAATGTTCCATTTGGGCCTTCGGCGGAGCTCCCTGTAGAGTCACGAAACGTGTGAAGGGTGTGCCGACATGAAGGGCGCGGACGCATGTGGACGGTGCCACTGGGGCTTTGGGTGGGGTTCCCTCTGGGGCCACGTAGCGAGTAAAGGTTGCGCCGTAATGGGTGGCGCGGACGCATGTGGACGGTGCCGCTGGGGCCTTGGGCCTTTGGTGGGGCTGCCTATGGGGCCACGAAACGTGTGAGGGGTGTGCCGCAATGGGTGGCGCGGACGCATGTGGACGGTGCCACTGGGGCTTTGGGTGGCGTTGCCTCGGAGGCCAAGGATTGCGCCGTAATGGGTGTCGCGGACGCGTATGGACGGTGGCACTGGGGCCTTGGGTGGGGTTCCCTAAGGGACCACGAAACGTGTGAGGCGTGTGCGGACGCATGTGTAAGGTGCAATTGGGGCCTTGGGTAGAGCTCCCTATGGGGCCACGAATCGTGTGAAAGGTGCGCCGAAATTGATAGCGCGGACTTATGTGGAGTGTGTCCGGGGAGCCTTAGGTGGGGCAACGTGTGAGGGGTGTGCCACCATTGGTGGTGCGAGCGCACGTGGACGGTGCCATTCGGGCATTCCGTGGGGATCCCTATGGGGCCACGAAACGTGACAGAAGTGTGCCGGAATCGGTGGCGGCGACGCTGGTCACGACAGCGAGCGTGATGATGATCGTGATGGTGATGATGATATTGTAAACGACGATGGATACAATGGTGATGGTGATGACGATGACGATGGTCATGCTGATGACGATGATTGGTAGTGACGATGCTGATGACGACGGTGATGATGGTAAGGATGGCGACGACGATGCTGATTACGATTTTGGTGGCGATGGCGATGGCGATGGCGACGGCGATGATGATGAT